ATAAGAGGGAGGGAACAATCAAATCTAATTAGAAACTGATATGCATTGACTTATTTGACACTCGCGGTACTCTCCGGCCTTGCTCGCGGCAGGTTTTTAGCTTAATAGTTTGGTTGTAATTTTTTTTACCCATTTCCCGAGCGTGGAAAATTCAAATTTATCCGTATCATCTCATTTAATTTAACATAGTATATATATTTCAAAATTAGTTTGAAGCCCATCGAATTAATAACCAAAAATTGAAATCAGCATTTTCCGCCCTTTTAAGTGCCGTGAGCTTTTAGCCAATCTGATGAATTTACAAAATCGCTGAAATACGTAGTTATTAAGTTTTATGTAGAGCTACGAAAATAGGTTTGAGTTCAAAAAAATCTGTGATCCGAATTTTCCACAGAAAAAAACCTCACAGGTAAGCAACATTAAACTTCTTTCCAATTTTGTTTGCCAAGCAAAATTTGGCGCCAAATTATCACATTGGAGAGTACAGGGTGTATATGATGCAAAATGAGAACTTGTTTCTTATAATAGAGCTGGGATAGAATATGAATTAAATTTCTATCCCATGTTAAATTAAATGCGCTAAATGTTAGCTACTTGCTCACGAAGTGTATAAATCAAAAATAAAAATTCAGTCGAGCGTGAAGGGAATAATGCGTCGCTTGCGTTGTTAGCAGTGTTAGAAAAGTTGTTCATTAAGTGAACTAGTTCCAACTTCTCTTGTTCTACTGTTCACGGCGAACAACCCAACACTGCTGGAGTGGGAAATAAATAAATAAATAAATATAAATAGTCGTCAAGTAAACCGTCTATTTAGCAAAGGAAACAAGCAATCGATGTGCATTAAAATGCGGATGCCATAAAAAATGACGATTGTGCGTCGATCGGAACGCAATTACCCAATGCTGTTCCTGCAGGTGTGTAGCGAAAATTCTAACCAGACACAGACCCAGGCCCAACCCACTTTTTGGGTTAGTGGTGGGCGTTGTCACCCCGTCTGTCACAAGGCTGTGCTCGTTCTCTTCGCTAACAATTCCATTGTGCTGCATTTGTCATTAGCAATAACAATGGTCTTTATGTACATATGTGTGGCCTAATCGCATAATTCGAATTCCTTATTGCAGAAATGTGCTTGTTAGTCTAGTGCATTGATATTAATCCAAAGAACCCCCAGGGTCATATGCATTTTACCAACACAAAGTCAACATCACCAACTAATTGTCATACCCTCTTGACTAACTGATCAATCCAAAAATGGACGAAGACATTATGAACGCAGTAGAATCTCTTTTCGGAAAGGATGTCAAAATTGTAGACTGCGAGACATCGTCGTCTGTGCAGCAAGAAGAGGTGCTGCTGATTAACGGCGTGCCGGTCAAATTGGACGGCCTGCCGGCAGATGATGCAAGTGCCATTAAGAGCGCGCTTCTCGATGGCCAGATGCCGGCAGTGGAGCACCTGAATCAGCTGCTGTTTCGTGCTGGGCTAGCGCAACAGCCCATAGAAGTGGAAACATCGCTAACGGTGAAGTCCTCGCTGACCACCACCGAGGAGGTGTTGGTTTCACGTAACGGGCAGGTCCTCGACGAGAGAACCGTCGAAACCAAAGAGCACTTTAACCATCAGTCACACCAGAAGGAGATCTGGCAGCCAGTTAGACAGCAGAACGCATTAGCGCGTGCGACGCCAGAGAACGCACTCAAGTATCGCACAAATTCGAATTCCACGTTTTCTTCACAGGCAACAGGCGATGGGGAACCCAATAGATCTGGAGACCAACTGGGTCGTCAGTTAAATCAAACATTTTCGAATGCCTCACTCATGTCGAGCAGCTCTGCCATAAGCGGCTCGGATCAGGTGATTGGCTCCACCTCCAATGTGTCTACGGCGACAACGCTGGGCGAGAAGAGTTCGAATATAAGCAGCTGCGACTCGGGCCACGACGGCCTCTTCCACAGCGTCTCGATGAGCGCGCCCTACACAAAAGCCAATGCCCGCGATCCTCAGACGGATTCCATGTACTGTGACATTCCCAGCTCGGCAGATGAAGCTGATGCGGTGTCAGTCGCCTTGCTGGTAATATCCTGACAACAATAATTAGCCATCAATTTTAATCGCATTGCCTTGCAGAGCACGCACTTGCAGATCACAGAGTCATGTGACTCAGTCAACGATTGCCAAACGCCGCCAGCTTATGCCAAAGACTTGCCAGCCGCTGGTGATCTCGGCACGCTAGTAACGCTCCTGGTCAGCTGCAAAAATGAGGACGTAGAGTTTGAATTTCTACTATGTGCGCGTTTGCTTGTACCCGTTCAAGAGCTGCTGTCAAAGATTATTCAAGAGTGCCACGGACAAGAGGAGCAGCTGCTGCGTCTGCTCGATCACTGGCTGCGCATATGTCCTAACGATTTTCGCAATGAGACACTGCTTCAAGAACTGCGCAAGCACAGCGGCAGCAAAGCATTAAGTGCTTTTCTTGATCGCATTTCCGACTCAATAGACCGTCTGGATGCAGGTCAGCGCTCACAGCTGCAGTATTTGCTGGTTAAACAGGCCTCGGCCAGTTCCTTAGGGCGACAGAGCAGTATTAAATCGCTAAAACGGTTCGCTGCTAATGTCTACAAAACGGATAATGTGCTGAGCAAGTGCAGCAGCGCCTTCGAACTGGCACATCAGCTGTACGCCGTCGAGTACGCGTACCTCTCGCAGATACGTCTAGAGGAGTTTATCGAGCTGATTAACACCGGAGTGTTTAAGACTTGCATGTCGCAAACCAAGGCAAGCACGTTAGGTTCCAGCTGCACCTCAGCAAAGCAACCCGAGGTTAGCATCGCAGCCTATGTCCAGTGGTTCAACCAACTCTGCAACTTGACTGCCACGGAAATACTTAAGGTGAGTGAGTCGAGCACAAGCCCAGTCTTATTTATTAACACACATCACATCAAAAGGCTGGCAAAAAGTCTCAGCGCGTGCAGATGGTTGAGTTCTGGATTGACACCGCTTTGGAATGCTTCAACACGGGCAACTTTAACAGTCTGATGGCTATTTTGACGGCTCTAAATATGACTGCCATATCGCGGCTCAAAAAAACTGTAAGGCTGACCTAAAAACTTTTCAACTTGATAATTAAGTGTTTTTCTTGCAGTGGTCAAAGGTGCAGACAACCAAATTTGAGGGCTTGGAACATCAAATGGATCCCAGCTCCAATTTTCATAATTACCGATCGACCATGAAAGCGGCCATTTGGCGCTCCGAACGCGAAGCGGCTAATAAAATCGAGCGTGCCATTATACCGTTCTTCTCGCTCTTTCTTAAGGATTTCTACTCCATTCACGAGAATCACAATACCAGGCGAGCATCCTACCAGCAATTTATTATTATTTACCTCTAACTATTTAATGTTTTCAGACTCGCCAACGGATTCTTCAACTTTGAGAAGTGCACACTTCTTGGCACACAGTTGCGCAACTTTTATAAATGCCAGCAGCTAGATTGTCCGTATGAGCAAGTGTCCCATGTCGTGGCCTATTTGCAAAAGGCAGAAGTTTTCACTGAGGAGGTTCTTATGAAATCTTCCTATGAATGCGAGTCTCCGACTGGCGCTGGCGAGAAAGAACACTACAAAGCGCTAAAAGCTGCAAAATAATCGAACACATTAATTTGAATTATTCAATAAGACGACAATTTTTGGCGATAATCGAATCTAGCCTCGCACAAACTTCCGCAGAGTTTGTACACATTTTTTTGTTGATACTTCCATGTTTACATTTGCATTTGCATCGCAATAACGATAATAACTTTACACTATAATCGCAATCGTATTTGTTAATTTGTACTTAAGTCTGTAGCGTACATACAAACATATTCAACTGATTCTAAGCAATTGGTTGGCATGTAATTTAAAGCTCCAATAAATTTACATATAATCTAAAACAGTTGTTTTATACCTAAGGAAATTTTCGGGGATTTAAAAAATTCCTTTTTAAAATCCTTTCCAGTGGTTGTAAATTTTTTAGTGCTGGGCCGTTTGATGATATTTATTAGAGTACGGAAATAATCCAAGAGCTCCTCTAATACTCTCACCAACCTACAATTCTTGCAAACACACATGAATTTAAGAAATCTAAATATAACTACATACAAAAACTACTGCATAGATAATTTTAAGTCTCTGAGTATTTGTTCTTTTATTAACGTATGGTAGCAAACTTTTGAAAGTCAACTGTTCCGAACTTGCCAAACAGCTCCAGGGGATAGTGTTTGCCCTCGCCTCCACAGGGGGCGTGGACTCGAATTTGACGCATGTGAGTGTCGCGGCCATTCTGATGATTTGAAATTACGGCGATTTGCAGCATAAAGGTGCGCAGCGACTTGACGTTGCCGTCCTTAATGGGTATTTGCACCCAGCCATTTGGCTCGGTCAGATCGATAACTTGAAGCTCCTGAAGATCATTGAAGTTTGTGCCGGAGCGTATGGAGATCCGCGATGGCGTATAGCTCTCGTCCAGCTTGTAGTCGGTATATATGTAGATCTGGCTGATGTTGGTGCGCTTGTGGAATTGTATATTGACCAAGTGCGGTAATTGGCCGTCGGATTGCCAGTAAGTGTCCATTATATTGTCCCGCAAACGTTCAACGCCAAAGCCTGTTCAGTAGCAATTTTGTTTAAGTGGAGCTCTTGTTTGTTTTCTCCGCGAGATCCTACCTGGTTTGCAGGAGGACAAGCTCCAAACAGCCTGCGAGCCTACTTCACGCACATAGCCCAGTCGTTCTTCCGCAAGTGGATCCTCTTCGCTAGTAACAGCTGGCTTGGCTGTGGACTCTTCATCTAGAGTAGCCGCCATATTTCAAGCAGAATAATTTAACATAAGTAAACAAAGTCGCAAAAATTATATTCAACTATTTATGCTTGACATTTTGCCAGCCAGTTCTTTTTGCCACAGTTTCTAACACTGGCTGGCAAAACAAGCACAGCTGTGAGCACAGTCAACAAACGGCTCGCAAACGTTTTCCAACACTCACACAACAACGCACATGTGCATTGCAGTAGCATAAGGAAAACAAACTTAATTATGGTGCGAAAACTGAAATACCATGAGCAAAAATTGCTCAAGAAGGTAGATTTCATCACATGGAAAGTCGATAACAGCAGTAAAGAGAATAAAATCCTACGCCGCTACCATATACAAAAGCGTGAGGACTACACAAAGTTTGTATCCAGTACGGCGATGCCTGCAAAATATTGATATTAAAAAAGCGATTTGTTTTTTGAACAGGTATAACAAATTGTCGCGGGAAGTTAGAGAACTCACTGAAAAAATAGCCAGACTAGATGGAACGGATCCTTTCAAGGGAGAGGCAATTGCAATGCTTATGAACAAACTGCATGCGTTGGGTGTTGCCAACGATCACATCACCTTGGAGACCGCCAGCAAAATGTCGGCAAGCAACTTTTGTCGTCGCCGCTTACCCGTCGTGATGGTCAGACGTGAGTACAAATTACGTGTTATACTTATACTTGATTTGAACTTATCAAAAAATGTCTTTTAGTGAGAATGTCGGAGAGCCTTAAACATGCCACCGACCTCGTCGAGCAGGGCCATGTTCGTGTGGGTCCAGAAATGGTTAAGGATCCGGCCTTTCTAGTTTCCCGTAACTTGGAAGATTTTGTCACCTGGGTAGATGGCTCCAAAATTAAAGAGCATGTGCTTCGTTATAATGACATGCGCGATGATTTCCAAATGTAGACGACGATTATGTTTCAATTAAACTCTTTTTTAGATTTATTATAGAATTATTTTATTTTTTAATATTATGATTTGTGTGCACCAATTAGGAAGTAGGTGCAATATATGACCACTTGTAATTGGAGCGCCAAACGGATAAAATAATTCTTTAAAAACAGGCATAGGAAATGCATGCTTAATTATTGGTTGACTTTTTAAACATTTAAAGCTCTAACTCAATTGGGCAAGGCTATAGAGAAAATCCAGCTTAGCGCTTACACAGAACGACTCGGCAGATCGTCTCGTTCGGGAATTACATTATGGGACGCAGATGCTTCCGTCTGTCAGCAACATTAATTCTCACAAAACCATTATTCCACTTTTAAGTATTTTCAATGGGTTCAAACAAAAAAGAAAAACATTTGTAACCGTAATTTGTTAAATTATCATTTTTAATAACTTTATTACATTTCATATAATAATGTTTAGATCGCATTAATATAATTCATTATATTGGAGCCTTTCACGCCAAGGGCGCAACAGCGCCGACACTGATAAATATAGTACATACATATATAAACTTGTTTATCAATCAACCCTCGTATTCTCCCCATGCTACATGCCCGAGGCCGCATAAAATTCCTTCTAATTATGGCGGTACACAGCATATGCCTTATTAGTTTCTTCTCACTTACATAGTTAATTAGTACGATTATCGATACAAATTATAAAAGAGCCATTCGAAAATATTTAAAAGAAATACAACAAAACCAAATCAAATCATAATAAAGAAACGAGTGTAAAAAACTTGCTTTTTATTTATGTTTGCAAATGTCAATAAAAAAAACAGGTTGAGTGTCATTAGGGACTAAGGTGCACGGTTGAGCGGTCTAAATAGTGTAGAGGTTTTAAAACAGAGGATAGACAATAATTGTTTATAGTTATGTTGATGGCAGTTATACGCTAACAATTTGAAATATCCTTTTCGAGGGCCCGACCGCTGCGGACAAGGGCGTGAAAAGCCAATCCAAAAGATATTTAAAATACATTTAAGAAACGACTTAAAAAGAGGCTTTGAAGATAATCGATTTGTGTAATACAATTTACGAATTTTAGAGTCCGACTGCGTTGCCATTGGAGCATCTGACTTTGTAATGAAATACATAACTGTGTGTGTGCATTTATTTATGTAAATTCAACACGATTAGCATTTCCATTGAGTTTGTACAACAAAGACAGCTTAAGGTGTCAGCCAGTTAAGTCTTTTTTTTTTTCATTTTGTTGCATAGGTATATGTATGTATGGTATCCTTTAAATATTAGTTGTATTATTCCTTTTTAAATTTGCATAAAAAGTATATATTAATTAGTCTTAAAATAAATAGCTAGTGGCGTTAAAATTAGTGTCGACTGGCGAAATTGTTCAGAGCCCTTGACAGGGGCCTCACAATAACCCGCATATGCCAAAGGGCAACAAAAATTTCGCATAAAAAACTTCATAACAATTTAAAACAAATTAATAAAATAAAGAATTTCTACAATATCTGTTGTTCATTTTCTTCAAATTTTCTGCTCATGTGTTTGTGTGTGTGTGTGTGTTTTCTATATGTGATAAAAAAATCTTCAAATTATCCGCTGGATTTTATTTTGGCTTTTGTATCGGGAGTTTTCCTATTGAATTTTTTTTCTTTAAAATTAAATGAAATTAAAATGAAATATTTTTATCGCATTGTATTAATGAATACAATATTTTAGTAAATTCCAATTTGTTGCTGTCGCTCAAACATGTGCAATTAGTTATTAAGCCATAATATGCCGTACCCTGCCCCAGAGTCCCGAGCCCAAAACCCAAGCACTGCAATCGCTCGGTGCCGTAGTAAAACATTGAATTCTCATTGCTTTCGCAATTGATTTAAGTTGAGGTTGCAGAATAGTTAGCCATTGGGCCAAGTTGCTCCGCACTCGGCTTAAATCACAAGCGCCATGTCCTTTTTGCTGGGCAACTGCACCCGCTTGCCCTGCCACAGCGAGTTGTGTATTGTGAAGGCGTCTATCGTGACGGTCAGATGCTTTGTGTGCACCTGTGAGAAGCATTTCCCACCTGAGTTGTATCTGAAGGGCAACAACAAATTAGCATAGGTAAATACAATTCTAGCCAAGACTCACTTGAAGAATTTATCGAACATGACTTCGTCGACTTGACTAGGTCCCGTGCCGTACAGCTTCGTCACTTGATCCGTCTCCGGCATGTAACTGTAGAGGGCGCGGAATTGGCAGCCCGCATCCCGGAAGAGTACGAGGAAGTGTTTGGCCTCCGAGCGCGCGATCTTCTCGAGCACTTTCTGTTTGGCTTCACGGTTAACGGCGCCGGGAAAAACGCAGTACTCAACGGCATTTAAGATAATGCCGCGATTTGATTTGGCCGCTGGTTGTTTGTACAGTTTTGGACCTGTGGATCAACAAAATATATCAGTAACGCGCAACTGCAAATGCAACATTATTTTACGTGGTTTTCTACTCGGTGTTAATGGCAAACTTCTCAATTATTAAAAATAAGGTATAACAATTATTTGCTTCTTATGCAGGCAACGTGCGAACTGATCATAAAAAAACATTAACTCATATTCAAACTGGGCCATCAGATCACACTCTGGATTACTTTTATTGAGCACATAGAACTACGATCTGAGGACCTGACGCAGTCGAGGGTCCTTCACAGCGTAATATGGCTACTATAACTCGATATATTAAATATATTACGTTATGAATGACCCACTTTCTAAGTTTTGTATGCATATGTACTTACATTTTGAACTAACTAATCTAATTGGTTACCAAATGTGAAACATTCCAAATATAAAATAAATATTACAAATATGCAACAAAATCATATAAATCTTAAAATAATAATTGCTTGCATTTTTGCACTTGATATCAATAATTTTAATTTTCTGTTTTTTGTTTTTAGTTTGCAAATGTGAGGCGGTTAATTGGGCCAATCGGGGTTATTTTAGATTTTTCATTTGTGGCATTATATAATACTAAAGACACAACTCGGTTTGACTATCGAATTCGTGGATTTGACGACGCAACGGATGGAATTGGAATTGCATCCAGAAACGCGCGCACTTTCAATTTGTGACAGTCCCTATGGCACAAGTATGTACGTATATTCGTATACGGAAAACTCAATTGTATGTAGTATATGGTCGTAAAATCATAAATGTATGTTGTTGATCAAAAGAAATGGACATAAGAAGAAGACCAATTGGTATGGTTTCAACAGAACTGAGAATTGAATTGAACTAAGAAATAAAAAGAAAACGAATAAGTGAATATTCTATGAGGCGTTCCAAAGATGTACAAATGATGTATGAAGAACCAATATGTATGGTGTATGTACGAATATGATGCTTGTTGTTGTGGATGTATAACTGAGAATTCTTTGAGACTAAGTACAAACCCGAGTATTCCATGATTAAAGACGTATCGCTTGATCCATCATCAAATCCGCGACGCTTCGATATCAAACCTGGCGGCAAAGAGCCTGGTCCAGAGGGAGATGGCATATGCCTACCTGATGCCGCCATTCCTGGTGACGGTGCTCGCCGCGGCGGAGTGGCCCGTCCCAGTCCCGAATCTGTGTCTAACCGGTAAGCGGGAAGATCAATCGAGCGTTCATCAATCATCAGAGTTCAGGCATGCATTGACGCACAAAACACAGCCGCGAAAGCACCAACAACCACAGCCATAGTGACAGAGGGGGTAGAGAGAGAGAGAGCAGGGCAACACAGTTTCAGAGTTGCCATCCATGCAGAGTAAATTCATTCGGTTGATGCATTCGAATTTTGTTATTGGTTATTATTCGCCACAGGATGATGTCGATGGAAGCGATCGAGCGATGAATGTTATAGGCATTGATCGATTTTGTTAATAGATATTTAGTTTGTTTTTCATTTCATTTTTGTTGTTAATTCAATCAAGTTTTCGGGTTTTGTACACAAGTTTTTTTTGAATTGAAAGAAACGAGAAATAAAAGAGAATGTGTGCATTCAATTTAGTTAAACAATTTTGTAGATCGTTCAATGTAGTATGTATATACACTTAAGGCCTAAATATGATCTGTCTGAGAGTGCTTAAGTGTGTCTGTGTGTGTGTGTGTGTGTGCGTGTGTTGATTTGCAGGCGTGTTTGGGTGCGGGGGAGTATGTTCATGTGTGAGTTAATTCACAATTTCGGGAGAATAAAAAATGACAACCCAGTTCCCCAAAAAGCGGACAGTACAAGTCGAAAGCAAACCAGAACCACTTGCGAATTATAAAACGTTTGCAACTGGCAACTGGCTGTTGTTTCAGTAAACAAATATAGAAACAGAAATGCCGCCACCGCTTTCTTTTTCCAGTCATAGAAAAACAAATTATTACTCAGCAAACTAAATCAAATTACAAACTTCAAAAAACATAATACCTTACATTTTCTATAAAAAAATTCGTATGAAAATATATAAGTATATATCAAAATGTAGCAAGTTCTTAAAAAAGGTAAAGGAACTTTACGAACTTTCATGTATTGAATACAAAAAATATATAATCAGAAAACAAAATACTTGTAGAATGAGTAATGCAGGCCCGAAGGGAATACTTCTAATAACTTGTGTTCAAAAACAAAGTAAAATAGTTATAATATACTAATTAAGGGATTTACAGCTTGTTACTCGAGAATTTTGTATTTAATCCTGCATTACTCTCAATCAGTAAGCCAAAAACCAAAAAGTAATAAGGAGACAACACAAATATCATGTTTAAAAATAATTAAATGATACACAAAAAATATAGATGAAAATTTAACCATCACCTGCAACCGACGATTGTTCAGAAAAGAAAATAAATTGACATATAGTAAATCAGACTAATTATGATAGTGAAGGACATAGTAAAAAAGAAAGGAAACTGCCACCAAATACAGAGACAAAAGACAAAGAACCAAAATGTAAAAGTATATTTATGATTTAAGCTACCACAGAAATTAAATATGAAATAGCAAGAGATAAAGTTAGGTAGAAATACGAGT